CAACTGTAGCCAGCGAAAGCTAGAGGTGGGCTCGTGAGATAGTTTTTCTCGATGTTGCCAAGAAGATATTCAGTTTAATTTTCTCCATAAAATACTTCGAGAAATAGTTATTGGAATAACACTTGAGAGTATAAATTGTTTCAGAAGTATAAATTGTTTACATATTGAAGTGCTACGGGTCTATCCGGCTCGAAGGACCTAAAGTGACGTGCCTTCTGTCAGTTATGCCATTGCAAATGGAAATGTATATATCTTTTTCGATTAATACCCTGCAGTACCTGTATGCAGTAATTCATAGACCTACTGATCCATTCAAATTACTGATGAAACTAATAGTATATTTACACCGATCTGACTTACCTATCGAAATCGAAACTAACGCAAAAACGCAGGACGCTAGTTTATACTACAAAACATGCGTTATTGCGTTAGTTTTTGACAGCTTGTTTGAAATTATTGGGAACATAAAAAAAAACAAAAATGGAGGACGAAATCATTATTTTATCAGCTGTAGAGCAAAATAAAGTTGCCACAATGAAGGTAATTGATTTGGCGGGGATGTCGCAAGCCACGTTTGAGAAGCTCCAGAAATTAGGGCCTTATCGCAGCGTTTGGACTCTTGTAAGTCAATCAGCGAACTCATTAAATAATAACACTATTATTTAATAATTGTATCTAATTAAAACAGCCACGATTCGGCTCATTTTGGGAGGAGGATGTTGCAAAAAATTCAGACGAATTTTTTAAAGAAAGTTTCCGTGTGAATAGAAGCACGTTCAACATTCTGGTTCAATTTGAATCGTAACCTGCTTAGTTTTTTTCGATTGGGTGGTGGAACTTCTTCGATAATTCGAATATCGAGTAGAATATCGAACAAATCTGTCATTATCGATATGAACGCAACTTGGACGCAACTTTTTTCCACCACTAAAAACTACTAGTAAAAAAAACTACGTTTACTAAGTTAACGCAATAACGCAGCCTGGTGTAAATAGACTATAACAAGGGCATGTCCTAGGCTGTCATCAAAAAATAACTCGAAAAGCTTTTCTTATGTTGATTTTATTTTTTCACTTGAAAAATATAATTTTTGTGCTAAAGAAATAATTTAGCTCGTTATTTTAAGCTCTGACATAACAAAAATGATACCTTAGAAAAATTGTAAGGTGTTGTCAGATTAAGAGAGTAAACAGCTGAGATTGTGATGTCAAAATAATTGATTTCAATTATTCTTAAAAGAATAATGGAGGGAAAGTTAAAAAATAATTCTAGGATCGAAAAATTTTCTGCTCGCGAGGAGAAAGTGAATTTGATAAATGTGGTGCTTTATATCCAAAATGTCGAGTTATAAAACAAAAAATTCTAAATATAACCCATATTTCCTATCAAAGTAGGCCTTAACTTTCAGCTCCAGCCTTTGTGTTTAGACAGCACATAACTCTTACACCCATTCGAGAGCTCAACTAGAGCAGACTAATTTTTATTTCATCTGAAAAAAAGCAGTACAAAATTTCGAAGCACAAAATTTCGAAGCACAAAATTTCCACTAACAAAATTTTCAAATATAACATTTCGTATTTAAATATTTACCATGCCGCACAGAAAGCGCATCTCTATTTTAGTAAATCGCGCTGACAAACCGAAACGAAAGTTATCGAAAAAATCGGCGAAAGCCAGGTGTGTGCAATTCACAGATAGTACCTTAATTCAGAAGACCAAAAAGAAATTGGTTAGAAAGCCCACGCCTTATCCGGTCCAGCGCTGTCGGGCTCCCAGACTGAGACCAGCGAACAGAACGCAAGCGCCGAAGGAAGTCAGCAAGGAGACTCTCTTGAAGATGTCCGCTAAACTGCAACCCGCTGACGATAGTGAGCTCAAGACCATGCTCCAGGGAATTGTGCTGGGGTTAGGTCTTTACAATCAGATCGCATCCGTTAAGCAGGCTCCGGATCCCGCAGCAGCGGTAGCAGAAGCACCAATAAGATCAGATGATTCCATTGACCCAGTGTCTGTTCAGAGCTTTGCGTTATCCACAACCTGTGAAGTTGGCACCGAAGTTAACACTGAGAATTCAGCAACGGAACCGAGTCTTATCTCCTTCCCATCCGGAACTTCTTGTGTATCAAACAGACATTCATCGGAGTAAAGGAGAAAGGACCTTCGCTGATGGGATCGTCGGATCAATCCTTGTAATTTCAATTGAAGAGGATAATGCAGAGCAGGGACATGGTAAAAAATGTCTGTATTAAAAAAAGGATAGAATAATGTTCGATTTCAGCCAAAATGACGTTGTCCGCTGAACGGCAATAGATACATTTTTATTATAATTTTAATTAAAATTACAAGCTAAAACAATACCTTTACTATATTTTTCTAGATTTTGCTGGGCTTCTATCTCAGTCAGGGTATATTTTATACCTCAAACCAAACCACTAGTGCTGGAAAAATATCGATTAATAATCGATATTAAAAAAAAAAGTTTTTTTCTACCTAATCTTGGGAAAATACTCACAAAGCTTGAACTCTAAAGATTTTGCTGCCTGATCGTCATTCCGGCTCGACAAAAAACCCAGTTTTTTTAACCTGGGATTTAGTATGCCACCAACTCTCCTTATTAATTGAAAAATCGTACTATTAATTGGAATCTAAAATAGATGGAAATTCATATAAATATTGAATTGTTATTATAAAACTTTTTAAAATAGAAACTTGCCAATTCTGCCTTCTTGCTCGGTTCTTAAGACAGTTGAAAGTAATCGATGTTTGACAAGTGAACATCGATGTTGGTCGATTTTTTATGTTTCATTGATTGTATCGAATAAATATCCATGTTTGATCCAGCACTACAAAACTCTTAATTACTGTTTTAACACTTCATTCCACTGTTTCAATATATTTTAATGTTTTCAATGACACAATTACGGTCAGTTTATGGTCTTATTTGGCTATTCCGTTTTACATTTCATATTTCGTGACGTTCATAAACTAGAAAAATATTTTTCGTTGCGCTCATTCCTTTCCTATTCTCCCATAGTCCATCTCTAGATGTGAGTGCTCCCGGCCATCTGTTAACTAATTCACATGCCATGGCAGGAATGGCCAATGATTACATTTCATGTGCCATATGCAGGACTCTCATGCCAGGCTTTGAGCACACCTCTATCCACACCCATTCCCTGCCATTCCTATGTATCTGTATGTACATATATGAATCTCTTATGTGCCGAGTTGTCGATTATTTTGAGAATTTTAGTTGATATGTGAAATCACAATTCCCCAGCGTGTTAAAAAATGTTATTGAGATTTCTGTTGACAGTTTCGACTGCAAATTTAATGAGTGTTCACTTTGGTTGAGCCACTCCGCACAGAGGGGCCTGAATGCATTGGAAATATGAGTTAAATTTGATTTGTATATTGTGTATTTGAAAGGACTGAAATGGATTGAACAATAGATTTGAGGTTTTCGAAACAATATTTTTATTATTCTGCGCCCTGCCTTTGATCACCGTCATGCCCAATGTGTAGGCTACACTTTTTTAAACTCCCATTTGGGTTGCGCTGCTCTGAAGGAGCAGCTCATGTTTAAAGGCCACTTTACTTTTATATGCCACAACCAGCGAAATGTGACAATAAAAATCTCATAAAACCGTATTACTTAGCTAGTACTCACACACATTCGGGATACGGCGGAAAAATAATACAACGCGACGTCGTTACACTTGCCAAAATACAGTGTAAATTGGGATGAAAATATATCTCATTTTGCTATAATTTGACAATATTTATACTCCTGAAAAAGTGGAAAATGCTTTGCTTTGTTTTATTATAAAAAATCTTTGACAAATAAAAACTAGGTCACCAATTTAGTATTAAAACCCATGATTTAAGCGTAAGATTTAAGGCAAGAATTAACCACATTTTGTAAGTGTGTACTCGAGTAAGGGAGCCGCCCTCCAGCCAGCTGGGATCTTTAACTTTTGCGTTCTCCCACCCAAAAAAACGGAGCCCAACGGGCCGACAACTTTTGCCTTGTGGCAGCTGCAGCAACTTTTCCCTTCTGTCTGCCACTCGATGCGGCACGGCACACATCAAAAGTCTCTGGCCCCCTCCGTCGCCGGCAACTTGGAAAAGCTGTCGCAGCGGCTAGAATCGACGCAGGTGTTATCATCGATACCGTTGACGATTGTTTCCTTTATATCGACTGGCACTTCAGCCAGCCGCCTCCCATTTCCCCCACCGGCTTTTCCTCACGGCTGGCGCATTGCTACGAAACGTGGCGACTTTTGCCAATTGAAACGCCTAGTAGATGTTGCTTTTTGCCTTCGCTCCTCCGCTTTTTTGCGGCAATGCTTTGCTCCCATTGCCTTTTTTAATTTGTCACTTGAATCAAGAGTTGCCAAAGTTGTCCCGGGCCGAAACTCTGTAGCTCTGGGTTTTGGTTTGCACTCCGCGTTGTTGGCCCGGCTCGTTTCGCTGCTTCTTTGTTGCCTCTTCCCTTTGGCAACTTTAATTAAAGCCGAGTGCCGGAATTGCAACATTAGGCAACTGGGGGGGAGCTTTAACATTGTATCCGCAGCAAGTGTTTCACAAATTTGGCTCTGAGGATGAAATGCTACTGAATAAGCTGAAATACAAGGCAGAGAATGGCACTAGTCTTGGTATCAAATCTAATAAACTAAAGGAATCTAATTGGAAACAATCCCACCAAACATTTCAAACATATTTTCCCAGGAATTATCAGCTAACTATAGGGTATGCCAGATGTAAAACAAAGCGACAAGTCGCTCCTCCAGCCACAGATTGTAAATTAACCTAAATCGCGTGTAAGCCGTTTGTCATACAACGTTCTGAGGACATATTAAAACGCTCCGAGAAGGACGAGTGACTCTACACACAGACTCTACACAGGCATACATAAATATCTATATCGTATATGCGGATATGAATATTATAATCTCCGCCTCGCACTCAACCCCCCTCATTTTTTCCGCTCTTTACAGATGATGTGCTATTCTCGCGCCGCGGCCGCATGGGACGCATTGTGAGTCCGCGTCACACGCTTCCGCCGAATACGACATGCACGTACCACTTTCACGGATATCCTGGTGACCTGATTTGGTTATCGTTCACCAGCTACAATCTGCAGATCCTGCAGCAGGCGATACACGACAACAATACGCTGGGACGGGTGAGTTGAGTTGGGTTCGGTTCGGTTCGGTTCGGTTGTGTGGGGCTGGCTTCAGCGACTGTTTCCACCGTAAAATGTTTAACCGAACGACTATTGGGGGTGGTCATGATGCACTTGGAAAAACAAATCACTTTAATGTAAGAAATTAAAGGGGTTTAGTAAACTATCTAAACATTTTGACAAGAGGGATAGAAATCGGATATTAATGAGGGGGAAAAATACATACAAGTACCTCTGAAGTAGTATAGATCTGTGGATAAAGCCTTCTAAAACTCTTGAAAGGAACTGAACTTACTATATACCGTTTTTGGAATAGAACTTTCTCTAGATTTTCCTCCGTGTTGCAGTTCAGCTGCTGTTATAGTTAACCGTTTACATAAATGCATAAAGTGTATGCCAGAGTAAGGATAGAGGTAGTGAAAGGAGGTGGATGGGTTGGTCCTGGGTGGCTTACACAGTTTGCCGCTTCCATTGTCCCTTAAATGCATTGCGTCTACGCCAGCGGCGTCGCCTCCACATTCCTTTCATTGTCTTTGGCGCTCTCTCTTTCCTTTCCCTTATACATACATATATATATATACATATATCGTCATATCCCTTCTAGATGTTTTGCTATTAGTGCCAGTCGGTCGACACTTTGTCTCTGCTGGCCAATTAAAAATGCAGCTATAGAAATGCAACATATAAAATATATAATTAAGTGAAAGCTTACGCAACTCCTAACGAGACACTTTTGAGTCTGAAGTCTGCCTGCCGGCACAGTAACTGCGTCAAAATGCGACACTGGCAACCATAATAATGTCCTGCCCTTCCCTTTCGAAACTCGGCTATTTGTCTCTTTTTTCACAGTAAAAATAAAACAAAGAAGGGTTTTTAAATGGGGTTTTTCTACGATCTTACAGATTTTACAATTTCTAGAAAACATCGAATCGTAACAGAACTTTAAAGGGTAAGTCTGTGTAGACTGTATTTGGGATTTAAATAAACTGACTTAATCCTTAAGGCCCGATAAAGGATATATAGAGCGGTCTAAAAGTAGATACTTTCGAAGGAAAATAGCCAACAAAAAATTACCTCCAACTTTTCAATTTACTTGTTCAAAAACGAATCTTTTTCGTAAAAAAAAATAAATATTGAGTAAACACAGACAATGGATGTAAACTTTTCCGCAGTGTCCTCATCATAGTGGCGTGTGCATTTTAAATGTTCGTTGTCGCCTGCCTAACGGTCCGTGAATTGTGTCAAGGTAGAACGTTGAGTTCGCCTGGACCTGCGACGATAGCGCGTAATGTCGGGTCAGCGGGCGCCTCAAAGGATGAAGTAGGACGATGCCCCTACCCCCCTGTGACCAGATAACTGAATGGTCATTTAGGCTAGGCCAGGCGAAAGTTCATTTGGTGGAGGTTGCAGGTTCTGCGACAAGCGCCATGATTTATGTTAAGGAGCGGTGATTTATGATCAAGATATGGACGGAATAAAGCAGCCAGGGAAGTTAATAGAAAGAGAAACAATTGAGGAAATGAGTGTATTTTATTATTCACATATATTTTTTTGTTATATTTGTATTACTAATGGATTTATAGCAGTATATTGGAACAAGGGAAACATTATTTTAAAATCGGTAAACATATTATATAAATGTATAAACTTTATGTAGTTTCATAAATGAATACAGTTCTTTAGCTTTTGAAACTTTTATGGACTCTTTTATGTCCTTTTTGTATTGTTTCTATTCCTTATCATATCGGGGGAAAGGAAATTATTATTCTTTGTTCAAGAACCTTTAACTATCTGCAACAGATCCCAAGGTACTGGCCTTTCTACAAACTACAGAGTTGTCGAAAGACCGAAATCGGTCTATCCTGATCAAAGTATTGATATTCAAAGATATCAAATAAAAGACATTTACTGTAGTGGTTAGTTTTTTTGCACGAAACAGATTTAATTTTGAAATGTCTTCTGTTTAAACAGGTGTCATAGGATTCTATTTTTCGTGTAATCTATAGTAATCGCAGGAGCCTTAGTAAATAGTCCTACCCCTCTCAGTTTCTGCGACTCTTTTAGGCTAGATTTTTATATATTTTAATACCCCGATTCAGATAACTCTATACCTATAAGTAGCACTAATCGTTCTGAGCTCATTCCAATGCTTTGGCAATATTTAAATGATGGCATTATTCATTTTGGTGTAGTTCCTATATATTCTGCCGGCATTTGTTTTCTACAGATAGTTGCTCCCTTTTTTCAAAGTTTTTCCTTAATTTCAAGCTTATACAAAAAAGTGACTTTAAAGTGACAAGTCGCCAACTTCAAACTGTTGTCGAGTTCAAAAGCTGCTGGCCCAAGTGCTCGAAACTTGGCAACAATTCCTGCATTTACGGCATGGCCCAAAGATCATAGAGCACAACAGGGGCTGGGTGTAATATAATGGGAGGTGATATGGAACGATTCAGGGGACATGTCAACGCTTGGCGTGGTCTCATAAATGTCGTCGCATTACAAGTATTTTCAACAATTCTCTGCAGCCACACTCCAATCTATCCCGCACCCTGCATTGTTGTTATTTTTTCGTTTTGTCGGCGAGTTTTAACTTTGCTTCTTAATTTAAAAAGTTTGTTTTGCCCCGCTTTCTGTTGTGTGTGTGTGTGTGTATGTTTGTTTTTATATTTTTCATTCGGTTCCTTTTCATTTTAGAAAATTCGCATTCACTTGTTTGTGAGCTTGTTGTTGGCTCCCCACTCCCCCGAAAAATGGCATCGCCCACGTTCCAATGACTTCAGTTCAGCTCCCCAGTAGTACCTGCTGCTGTTGTTTTTGTCACTTTTCCCTGGCTGTTACAAAATTCATGAACTGTTTTTGCCGCCTCCACTCTCGTCCACCCACCGCCGACCGGAGTCGCCCGTTTTGTGTTTTATTTTACACATATTTTTGTTCTGTCACTTTTTATTGTACTCCCGTTTGTAGTCGCTAAAGAGTGGGAAGTTGGGCGTACAGTGAGAAAATAGAAACAGGACTCATGTCCTTGTATCGAAAGATTGGTCTTAGCACTATGCTTGCCTTGTCTTCTGACAAACCATCTGTGAGATCTGGAAAAACTAATAAAAGGACAATTTTGATAAATTTTGAATGCTAATGATTAAAGGCTTCAATAATCCTTGTTCTTTGGACAGCACATATCACAAGGAAATATATTAAACTTCAAATTCCATAACCATATTCTCCGAAATTTATTTTCCGTGCAGAAAATGGATGAGCGGGCGGTGGGTGTACGTGTATACAGTAGGTGTTACTGCAAAGTTGTTTTGCTTTATTTCGCTCGCTGCCCCTCGCCATATTTTTTGTTTCCTTTTCGTTTTTTGTTTATTTGTGTGCTGCTGGCAGCTTTTCATTTTTAGCAATTTAAAGTGTAGGTGAGGCAACTGCAATTGACACGGACGGAGGGAGCATCCTGCGAGGGGCGTAGCCCCGAAACGGAAGAGACAATTGTGTGGGTGTTGCCAGAGAGTTCAGTCACCATTTATCTGCTCCCGTTTTTATTTATTTTTTTGCCACAATGGGGTTACCAAATTAATTGGAACCGAAATTTTACAAAGACTCCGGCGTGTGTGTCTGCCAAAAATAAATTAGATGCCTGTGTTTCACACAGAATTCACGTCTAGACGGAGAACGACCTTGAAAGGCTGTTGGCAATTTATCTGATTAGGCGACAGGTGAAAAGTGAACACAGCCGAGTCCTGCAAAGATGTCCTGAAGAATGTGTGAAAGTAATCAAGGTGCAGCACGTGTGGTATGCCTGTGTGTCCCTCATTGGTGTGGTCTGTGTTGTCTGTGGAATTTATTAAACTCGAAAACAGAGAAAGTGATGGGAAGCAGGGTATTTCAGGAATTTAATATTATGTACAGATGCTCAGATACTTGTGAGTGCCAAGCCATTTGGAGGTCAAGTTGCAAGCTGGAAAATAAGTGAGAAGAATGATTAAACAACTTGATTAAAATTCAGACACATATTGTGCTTTCTTTATTCAAATATTGTACTTCATTTGCAATGAAAGTGTAAAAAATTGACTCAAATTTTGCGGCTATTTTCCTTCCAAATCAGACCAATTAAAAGGACTAGGTACCCGAGCTTAAATAGCTGTCAGTTAGTTTTCTGGGCCGACACTTCGGGCCAGACCTGGGAGTCTGTTACTTCAGTTCCTTCTGTCAAGCCACAGCTGTTTGCAACTGTCTTTTTCATTATTAACACAGTCAACAATAATCAGGGCCTAGGAATGGCATAGCGCAGGATGCGAGGGGAAAACATAAACATTGTCAGCCAAGGAGGCGTCTCGGAAAAATATTTAATGCCGGCAAACAACAACAAGGAGACTCTCCGAAGAATGTAAAGACTGCAGGGGATGGGACGGGGGACGGGGGACGGGGATGGAAAAACGGGACAGTGACAAACGACAAATAACTCACACTTGGAACTGTTTGAATATGACATGTGACAAAGGACGGATGAGGGGAAACTAACAAAGGAGAAAGCAACCAGCCAAAGGGAAAGCGTGAAAAACCCAAACAAAAATTAAAGCATTTCCATGGACTTGCAAAAAAATAATCAAAAAAATTTTTAGCAGAAATGTTACCAGGAAAATCCCATAATTAATGGGATTAAATTATCAAATTTTGAATAATTACGAGTTAGGCTTAACATTTTAAAATAATTGAAACTCTTACTAAAGAACAAAAATCATGTATCCAAATAAAATCAGTTCAATTTTACCTATTAAATGATGTTTTTTATTCATTATTAATTTAATGATGTGATTCTAATAATATTTTAATAAAAGCAAACCATTAATCATGCCAGAATTTAATGTAATTCCTCTAACTACCGACTTCCCTACGATTTGTTGTTTTTCCAAGTGCATATAAAAACAATGTCAACAAGAAAATTAAACAATAACATGTGCTCGCCTCCATTCTCCTATTATTTCCCCCAGAGCGATCTGCCGCCGTGGATAACGCGCCTGAGGATGTGGGACAGCTATGGAACCTATGTGCCCATGAAATCGACAAGTTCAACCACCGGTCAGCCGCCCCCACCGCCGCCCGTAGCCTCCTCGGCGGACGGGGGCAAGCCCACGCTCCTGAATCAGAGCAACTACGGCAGCTACTACTACAGCGCCAGCAATCCGAAGCTGAATCGGAACTTGCGGGTCAACATCGACAACGCCTGGAACCCGGTGGATACCTACATCTACGGGCCCACGCAATCGAGCGTCTTTAATCAGGAGAACAAGTACAGCGGCTACCAGGGTGGAGGGCCGGGCGGTCCGTCCGGAGGAGCAGGTGCCTCCTCCAAGCACTTGCCGGGCGTCAAGGACAGTCTCAACTTCATCGCCAGCGGCAAGTCTCCCAAGGAGGTCTCCGCTGCCGCAGTGGTCAGCTCGGACCGAAACAGTGCTCTGGCCCTGATGAGCACCAAGGGCAAGCGGCGCCTCATGCTAGAGATCTACGACTACGAGACGCCCAAGCTCTGTGACCACACGGCCATTGGCAGTGGCGTAAGTGGCAGTAGTGCCGTTATGGGTGGCAACAAGCAGAGGCCATGCAGTCCGTTGGAAAGCTACGTGAGCACCGGAAGGGATTTGGTGAGTGATTAGGATTAGGTTAACAACATTATAAAACTAGTCGAACGAAATTATAATTAATTTCGATGCTTAAAAGTTTTTTTTTGTTTTTTTTGTATATTTATTATTTTTATTTTATTTATTTATTATTGCCCACAGATAACAATTCAAAAACTTTAAATCTTTAGATTAAAACTTTAGATCAGCTTATGCTGATCAGGGCTTTTACGATATCGTACGTGCATCGCTGCCTTCAAAATATCGTAAATGTTTCCCATCCAAGCCAAAAAGTAGGCAACACCTCTTTCCCCAGCAGCCTGATGCCAATCAAAACTGTAGCCTACCTTCAGGCTTCGTTTACTAACCCAACGATATAAACGAAAATAAGAACTTAACCGAAGGACTTTTCTAATTTTGTCAGCTGGCGTGCTGTGTTTGTTTGTTCGCTTTGCGCGTTTGGCTTAAAAAAACAAGAATGAAGAAATAAAGCAAAGCGACTTTGTGACTGCACCTTGGCTGCCGGCGAGTAACGAATGCCGAGTGCCCAATTTGGCACGCCCAAGGGCTCTCACAACAAATAAAACGCAACCGGAGTTGGATCCTGGGAAAAGGGACCTGGGCACTGGGAATTTTTTGGCAGAGTGCAGAGCGTTTCGTGTTTACTTTAAACTTGACAAAATTAATCAAATTAAACACTCGACTGCATCGCCAGACGTGCACAAATAACGAAGGAGCGAAGCGAATTTCCCAGAGGCGAGCGCCAAATTCAAATTCGCCAAAGCACTGAACACACACACACACCCATCCATCAGTACACAAAGGCAAATACGGGGGCGTCACCGAGGGGTGGCAGTGGGGGTGGCTCCGTGGGCGGCATTGGTGGCATGCACGGACAAACAGACAACCGCAATAAGCTTGCTTAGCCTTTTTGACGTCGCTCGTCGTTGACAAATATGAACTGCAAATATTGTGATGACAAATTGAAGCCTCCGCGCATTGTGCAACGCTGCACTGGAAATTAGAAAATGTTATTTAAAATTATATATATTTTAATATTTTAAAACTTTATTATGATTTCCTATAGGTTGCATAACAATTATTCTGAATCCGAGGTCGAGTTCAACGAGACATTTCGAGACTCGACTGTATTTATAAGAATCCCTTATTTTAAAAACTCTTTCAGTGTAGATTACCTCTCACAATACCCTTTCTCTTGCAGAAACTGGAGTTCCACACGCATACGGGTACCGCTTTATTCCCGGCCCAGTTTGCCCTCAACTACGAGTTCGTGGACACGGAGCAGGGCGGAGAGACCTGGACGGGAAGGCGTGGCGAGGACCCCGTGCCGCCGCTCTGCTCCAGAGTTTTCCGGAAGCGCAAGGGCAACATCCAAGTGCCGAGGAATGTGTTCCTTTACGGGCGAGGCGGTGCTAAAAACATAACCTGCTTGTATCGCTTCGAGGCGGGTCCTTCGGAGAGGGTTAAGCTGGTCCTACACAATGTCTCCTTCGGCGAGGGTACGGCTTGCACCACGGACTCGGATTTGCATACAGGCCGACCTCGCTGCAATCAACTGGACCCGGAGGGTCGAATCACTGAGCTGCGACTGTTCGATGTCCCATTCAGGGATGTGAAAATCCAGCTGGGCTGCTTCTGCGATAACTCCAGTGCTCTGTACAGCAATGCGCCGCTGACCTTTGTCTCCCACTCCAGGATTATGGAGCTCTCCTTTACGGTTACTCGGTTAAATATATCGGAGGACTTTGCGGATGTCTTCTTCTCGGCTTCGTACGAGTTCAAGCGGCAGCCGGACTGTAGGAAGCAGTTGAAGCTGAAGGGCGCCGGAGGAGAGGATGATCTGAAGTATCCCCTCAAGACTCAGGATGCCAGCTGCGAGGGCTTGGCCTGGTACATTGAGGCCCAGTCCGCGGAAAGATCACTGTTTGTTCAAACCTGGGGAGCTTATTTGCCGGTGGACCCCACGTCCGAGGATGCCATGAGGTGTCACACGAAAAACAGGCTGATGATATATTCCGGACGCCCTCTGCGACCCATGAGGGTTGTGTGTCCGGCGCAGAGTGGGCCAAGGCCAATGTCCCTGCACATATTCTCCGAGGACTGGACCAATGGACAGCCCTTGTTTATGAACAAGTGAGTTAAATATTTATAATTATGTTTTTAAAATTAGTTTGTTGAGGATTCTACTTGAAATGACGATGAGTACTTGAGTGGAATAAGTTTATTTAAGGACTTTTGATAGCCTTGAATGGCTCTATTTGTGTGAAATAATATAAAAGTTATTGCTTAATTAAACTCTTTGCCACCTTGCCACCTTTTCTTCTGGTATTTTTCCTTATAAACATATTAGCATAAGTAAGTTATAGGCTTGATTTTAAATTGAAACAAATTGACCTTTCTGCTCATGGTAAGAGTAAAAGGATGGTCTCTGAGTTCGCCCACCTCTGCCCGACCAATTACCCACTCTCGTTGCAAAGGCCAAAAATCTATGAAATAGGAAATGAAAGAAACAGAAAAGTCTAAAAACATGCATGCCTTTCCATTATCGAGTGCATGTGAGTCAAGTCTACTCGAGCAACTGAGCACTACATGGAAAGCCTCTTAGCTTTTTACCCGAAATTAATTGCATTTTAATAGTTGCTAATATTTCAAAAAAAAAGTTTGTACTAAATGCACTGCTACCTGTTATTTCGAACCGGGAGAGTAACCTCCCCCCAGAGCTCCATCAAAGAGTTCTGCTTAAAAATGCAATAACAGGAAATGGCTACGACGGCAACAAAATACAGGAAATTGAGCGCAAAGAAATATGCTATATACATACGAGGGAAAAAAGAAAACGTTAAAGAGACCAAGTCCAGGCAAACAAACATGGCCGTCAGACATGAACACATGGGCACAGTTGTGGCAAAAAGAATATAGCCATCGAATTAAAATGAACCATAAGATAATAAGAACCTATCTCGAAACCCCTTTCAACTTTTTAAATTCTAATTTTTTTTAATATGCGAACTTTTATGGATATGAGACCTATTTTGGTTAAGCATAAATTAATCGATACCGTCGATGTTTATACAATAAATATTTAAACGTATTCCCTGTACCTGTATATTTCACTTTTACAATTAAACAAAAACGATCTAAAACATTGATGTTCTTAATAAAATAAAATTCAAATCTTTTTACATTCAATGAATTAATCCTATATTAAATGTTTTAAAAAGCAATTAAAATAGTACCTATAAAAGCAAATTATTTTAACCTTTAACAAATTTCCTCAAAAAATCTATAAATAGTTTGTAAAATTTGGTTCCATAACTTCTACCTCTGTCGTTTGGGCACCTGAAAACATGCAAAACGAACATGGGGCGAAGACAAGTGGAACATGTGGGGTAGGCGGGCTTGAATACAGGTAGGGGAACTTGGCCGTATGTGCTCTGGCAATTTATGTCCAAGGTGCGTGCCACCGAAATGAACCGTTGAACCTGGAACGCCGGACTCCTTTCTTGGGGAAAACTCCGGTCAGTTTACCAACCTTGTGTCCGTTTTCCTGGTCCTGCATTTAACGTGTCGCCATTAAATTTTATGGTCAACTTTTTCCCCCCTTTGCCCATGTTTGCATTTTGCTCAATTTTGTCGCCGCAGAACATAAAAAAGGAAAGGGAAGATGTATGGGAGACGGAGAAAAAGGAAGAACGAGAATATTGCATTGTGGAGGACGACATGTGAAAACATATTTTTATGGGACCCCAAAGGGTAATTGGACATTGCACTGGATATCCGTGCAGCCTAATGAGTGTGTTGAGCCCTTTTAGATAATTAATTGCGGGCTTTTCAACTCGGTTGTGAATTAAAATGACCGCACACTAAAGCTACAGAATGTGTGAGTTAACTGGGAAATATTAGAAAATGTAGATATTGTAGCTGGGAAATATAAGTCTGCGAGAGAATGAGGGGGAACAGTGCATTCAATAAAGAAAGATACAATTGAAATTAAGAAGAAAACCCATTTTAAAAATAATATTTATTTAGTTAAGTTCAATTTCCTGTCGATGAAACCTATTGCCTTAAATATCTTATTACCAAAGTGTTGGCTAACTCGCTTATTGCGCGACTTAAGCCAACTCTGAATAAGATATTTTGTCTATAGAAACTAGAAAGTTGCGCGTAATTAGTTGCAGTTGAGCAACTGCTAGGCTGGGGAGATGCCAGAATAGGGTAAAGGATATAGCCAGATACTAGCCTGGGGCCCACCCATTCCATTGGCGAAAAAGTTGCCACAAAAGTTATGTAGAGCATGACAGACGCGGTGAAATTAAAGGGGATAGGGGAAAAGCCTCACCCATCACGAAAATATTTACTACATAGATGGCTACTAGTGCTCTGCATGCAGTGAAAGAAATTTGTATAGATATCTGCTATTAAAAATAAGATATTAAAATTAAGTTGCCAGGGGTAAAGTTTCGAATAAAAAAAATACACTATATATTTTGTATAAATACGTTTTTTGTTTTAAAATAATTCTCATAAAATAAACCCACATTTTTTTTAACTGTGCTCTAACAATCTCTCTCCTATTTCCCTTCAGACCCATCAGCCTTGTGCTGGAGCCCATCCTCAAGGAGCCCGGCGACATAGCCTTCACGTGGCTGGAGATCCATCGCACCAAGAACGCCCTGCTGCAGCAGCTGGACCTGCATGTGAACGCGAGCGTTACCACGGGCTTGGGTGGCGGCAGCCAGAGCTCCTCCCAGTCCTCCTCGTCGGGATCCAATACGGGAATTGGCGGACTGGGCGGCACCAGTGCTGGCGCAGGATCCCCCAACACCGGGGGAGCAGGAGGCTCTGCGGGCGGGGCGACGGCCAACGAGACGCTGAACGAGTTCGGGTTCTTTCCCAAGGAGTCGGACTGCGAATACAAATGTCCTGAAATTGATGCATGCATTGCGGCCAGCCTGTGGTGTGATGGTAAGTACAGATTGCGATTTTTGATGTCCTACAACAGTTATATTTTAGTCAAAATTTAATAATAAATTCTTTTAAAAATAAAATATAGAAACATACCTTATAACCAAAAGATATATTAAGTATCAAAAAAGTCCTTGGAACTCCCTCTTTGAAAGGATTTTTGCAATATTTGTACGTGATTTGGCGCACGGTCTTCGACTTTGGTATTCGGTCGTCCTCCATTCGGGGGCCTGCGTCCGGCGGTAGGCAACCGAAATTTCACTTGTGGCTGCCTTGTCTGTTAATTTCAATGCAAGCTGTCCACGTTTTTGTAATCAGGCAAAGTTTCCTGACAACTGCACACAGCCTGCAATAGTCCTGCTGGTTGTTAGTTGCTCGCTGTAGCTGTCGTTGGCGTAGTCGGTGGTTGTTGGCCGCCGGCGGTTGCTGGCCGACTCGTGGGATGGCCGCTTGTTGGACAAACCCGCAGCACAAAACCCCAAAATGTCTTGTGCAAAAAGTTTGTCCCAGTCCAGCGCAGCCCAAACCAAATGGCCGCAACAGCTGCTCCAAACTTATTTGCGATGCACTTGAGAGATGAAGAGCAGGGCATAAACCAGGGATCATTATAGTAACTATTCCAGAATACCCTCTCAGTAAGATGAGTTGCAAAAATTAATATAGCACTTGTATTTTGATTTTCTTAAAAAAGAAAGTTTCAATAAGAAAAGTAGTAAATGTCTTTTTACATCTAAAAATTATATAGATTTAACTAGGATTTCTTTTTTTAAGCAACTTTGGTTAGTGAAAGAGATACTTAACCAAGAGCCCCATATGCACTCTTTAAACTCTTCTGTGCTTGCTGGAAAAAATACAAAGGCTGCTAGCCTGGACTCTGCCTTTTTAGCTTCAATTATTTATGGGCAGCCAGGCGCGTCTGCATCTGGAGCTGGTTAACCGCAAAAGCCAGGGCATTAAACAAGCTTTCGGACCCCACGGGCCACTCAAGTGACACTGCATTCAATTTGTAACCTTAGAGTAGGCCACCCAGAAGCTCTGCAGCCTCCCCGAGACCCCAATCTACTTTCAATTTTTCAATCAGCGCTCTGCTCTGCCTCTATCTGGGTAGCTAAATCTATTTATACAGTGGAAAAAATGTTCTTAACTTTTTTTTAAATAGATTTCAAGAGAACCAGGTACAAAAAATCAAAAATATATAATATTGTACTTGATTACGTCAAGTCATGTGAATTAAATTATATATGTAGGTATCATAGTAAAAGTAGAATTAACCTTTCTGTATATAAACCTAAATCAGTTCAAATAAAGTTTTAAAACCATTTTCCAATTTAATATTGGTCACACAAGTTCACTTTACATAGTCCTTTTTCTTACTCTGTCCTCCTTGCTTACAGGTCATCACAACTGCCCCAGCGGGTTCGACGAATCGGAGGAGGAGTGCGGCACCGCTCGCAAGCTGCTGGAATTGCCGGGCGGCGTGTTCGCCGCTCTGGGCTGCATTGCGGCCGCCCTGACGGCCTGCCTGATATTTTGCATGTTCGGCCTGATGAGGAAGCGGAAAAAGTCGGTGGTGCAGAAGGGCGGCGGAGTGGGCGGCGTCGGGGGCGTTGGCGGCATGGGCGTGGGCATCGGCTTCATGAACGGGGCGAGCAATGGCAATGTGTCCGCCGCCAGCATCGGCACACTGAAGAAGGACTTCAAGAAGGAGGCTCTGTACATCGACCCAGCCTCCTGACACGGGCTCCAGCCGGTCGAATATATCCACGTGGACCGCGAGACCACCGTGTGATATGTTGCCGCCGGCTGTGGCATCACCTATGATCATGTGGAGCTTTGCATGGAGATGGAGGAGGCCTGACCGTTCAAAATCTGGCCTGGGGATTTTAAAGATACAGCGTTAACGCCTGAAGGTATGAGGACACTAAAAGAACCTACATTTTAAGTCGATAACTTTTTCTAAACGCTTCTGGGAGTCTAAAAAATTGGGAATGAGCGCGTGAGTGTGCAGATTTAAAGGGAATGTTTATGGATATGAGCCTTTAAGTAGGTTTTCCTTGGTTTTCTGATCAATTTCTTCTTCACTAGCTAGTCTGTATATACTTTACAGTTAGAAGTCAGGAACGTACGACTTGATATTTTTGTTACCAGAAAACTCTGTCCTAATTTCTTTGTTAAAACTAAAATATAAAATTGCAATGATCACACTTTAGGCATATATAACAACTCTTCAGAAGTGTTTGAATCTAATTTTTAACATTTTTAATGGTTATCCTCAGTATTTCTTTGATTAAGACTTCACACAGAAAAGCGAGAACAGAGAGAAAACTATTGTAAATTAGGTACCTTTAATACGGTTAGAGATCAGCTAGAGAGCAAACAATTCGTGGGCAGTACGTAGATGCCTTTGGCATATTTTCCACATAGCACCCATTAAAAGGAAGGTAAACAAATTACATTTAGCAACTAAATGGAAAAGATCATAAACTACAATGAAATTGTATAGAGAGAGTAACTCAGTAAAAATTAAAGACAGCAGATCCCCCTTCGCGGGGCTCTCTGGCACTATCTTCTAAGTGATTAGACTAAGTATGAAAACTGTTGGCAGCATTTGCAAGGGAGTTGGGGAGCGTTGAGGAAAATCTCTACAGTGTTGTGATCTAAGGCATGCACATACTGAACAATGTTTAAACGAGCAAGTCGAAGCATTTACATGGATAACACTCGGTATGATATATTATACATACTTTCGGTTAGGCATTAGCTAGTATATAGTCTATAAATATTGCAGCACTCTTGGGTTTTTTATCGTACAGCACAGACACACCAGCCGAGAGCATCACTTAGTGGTTTATTACATACAAATCGAAGCGAGAAAATAAAAAAAATGCAATTGTTATTAATGGTTAAGTAGAACTCCCAAACAGAGATATGTTCACGCTTTATCTTGACCGAGAGAACTGCCAAAAGAATTTTAAAGCTAAAAGAACAATCATATGTACATATTTTTGTCAGGAAATTACTCGTTTTTGAGTTCGTAAATTGAACGCAAATTGTTTCCCATAATCAGCTGCAGTAAATAATATTCCTAACGCTATATGGACCTTGTAAAAACTACAAGCAAAGAATAATACTGAAGTGTACTCAGAATCTACCATGTAAGCCATGTCCCGAAACCCATATAAACAATCAAACTTTTGGCAGTTGCTAGGATTAAGCAAACACCAAACCAAAGTTAAGCAAATAAACAAGACATAAGTACTTTATTTTATAGACGCTAAACTAGGAACACAAATTATGGGAATGAAAACGATACAGAGCATAAAAAAAGCAACTGCCTGCAATGCGAATTTTAAAAATTAAAAACCTCTGACATATGCAGACGGAATCCACATCTATGAAAACCCATTAAAATTTCAACTTCAATAAAGTGTTACTGGAAAGCACGTGTATAATATATATATATCTGATTTAGTCGCCATGAAAGGGTAAAAAGAAAAGAACACATAAATTAAATCAAATATTTTCATTTGGCATTTTTTGATAGCAAATAACCTAAATATTTATAGCCAAAAAGAAAGTAAAAGAACCACGCGCACTTTATACAATTTGATGAAAAACAAAGAACTATCATTTCCCGACACACATATAGGATATTTTACACGCATCCACATATGAGATAAAATAATACCGAAGAACACATATAAAACGAAAACAAATTAAATTAATTAAAAATGGCGCATAGGCCAGGGAAATGCATTTTAGCTGCCGGCAAATATAGTGGAAAAACACGGTTGGCAGTGCATTTAAATAAGTAGCTTTAAGACCGGCCTCCAGCCGTTACTACTTCGTTGGCCATTACTGTCACACACACACACACACACACACACACACACACATCTCAATCACCAGTTCGGTTCAGTTCCTTCTCTCAACCAAACCAAACTATGGAAATTTCTGTGCCAACTGTGTTTAAAGTAGTATTCGAAGATAAAATACGAGTAAACGGAACGACCGAAGGGAGAAATTGAATTATTACCGCGCATAAAACATTGCATGTAATTTATTTGAAATGTTCGAAAATAAATAACCCAAAAAAGAGAGGAAAACCGTGCGCGAGATGGTAAATAATATCAAAATACAGACAGCTGTGTAAATAGTCAAACTGCGTACAGTCAACGCATATTTAATTCAAGACAAAGACAAAACGGAGATCTATCGAGGGAGTGGGAGATCAGTTTTGTGTTCCTTCAGTTTCGTTTCCCCCCCTAAATAGCCTAAGTTTCACTTGTATAATAAAAATAAAACTAAACCAAATATTTATATAGAGATATTATACGTATATGGACAAGGAAATCTCCAACATAATGACGCACTGAATCAAATAGATGAAATGAGTATTTAATAAAAACCAAGACAATTAAAACCAAAACAGAACTTTAAGACAAAATAAAAATGGGAAAAATTCAATTTAGCCTCGCCACCTGTCTTTACTGGGGGAATTCGGGATGCTGGGCGACACTTGGGGAAAACCGTTGGCCAAACTAAGGCTAACTGAAAATCGGGCTCAAATAGCTGGCAGTCAAGTAGGCCACTGATTTTGATTGCCCGCATCCGGGCGGCCATCTGTGGACATCCTCGGAAATTCGGGCCATCGAACGAGATGGTGTTAAAGCCAAGCCGGCTGCTCCAGGCGTGTGTTCTCACCGGTTTGGGATTGGGATTGGATTTGGGTTTGGGGTTTGCAAGCCTCGGCCTCCGCCGATGCCCTTCGTTAACCCGCATAAAACATAAGCCACGGAGCCCCGTGTTGTGTGCTCTGAATGCCATGGCCCCCATGGCCACCTGCACTCCTGAAAACCTACCGTTCTGTGGCTCTGTGTTTATGGCCGGCAGCTCTGTTTCTGTTTCTGGCCTCGGCCCCGGCCCTGGTCCTGTACACCCTTGCCTCTGGAATCGGCGAAAATGGCTTTGATAAGCGTGGGCGGCAGAAAGCCTGGACAATTCCCACGAGGTGTGGTAAGGCAGTTAAAAAAACGAGGTATGGATTTATCATTAATTTGTGTACTTTAAATTAAAGTGTAAGTAATTTCAGAATAACATTTATTTTCTTAAAATATGTAAAATAAATTATTAAAATTCCAGTGAACAAAGTCAAATGCCTTTCTAAACAAGGTTTAAGTTCAGTTAAAATTTATTATTGTTTAACAACTTTTTTATACGGAATTTAGTACCTTTTATTTGGCCAAGTATTTATTTATTGCCAACAAATTGTCTTTTACAACTGGGTAATAATTTTTTAGTAATAAGTGTGAAATTAAGAACCTTAAATAGTAGTTAAACACTTCCTTTTATGAATACAGAAACCAACTACCTGAAGGACCCTCGCTTTATGTAGTAAAAACACACACACAGACCAAGGCAATATATACGCACACCTGCCACAAACACACACAATCACACACAGATCCGCATATTTATATTTGCACCTAGGGCCAATTGCAGTTGTTTACAATTGAGTAGCCAGCTCAGCACAATTGTCCCGCTTGACAGCGACGACAACTACACCCGGAGTACCAACAAATGGCACAACAACCATCGAGCAATCGGCAGCAGAAAAAACAATAACATCGGACCAGAGATATAGCCGAGCCATGGTGAGTAACCGTCGCCGGACAGCTGATAAACTGAACCCGAAAACTGTCGGTCGAACAAGTAGTCAGCTTTCGAGTTTTGAAACCGGGGAAAGAGTCCAATCATTTCGATGTCCCATCCATCTCAATCGATTTAGAAACTCATCGATGCAATTCCCGCAACTTGGCAAGTCTTCAGCAGGAGTTGTGCTTTCTGCAACTCACTCCCTCTAATCTTTCAGATATGCTTTCTTATTGCTAATTACAGAAGTGCCTTCAATTACTACCATCTGCACAACGACATTTTCGTTTCAGTTGCATTATCATATTTTGTCTGATTTATTGTGAACGTCGGCAGTCTTCAGTTTTTTGCCTTTGTTATCGAGAAATTTACACGAATTTTCAGCTTGTTGCTGAAATAAAAAAAATATTGTAAGTAAAAGCAAACCGTTTTTTTTTTTTGTCAGTCCAGAAAATGTAGACCTATGCAGATAGTTGTGGGTAAAACGCTTAACTCTGACAGCCGACAGACGCCAGTCGGCGGAAATGTGAGCTACAGTGCGTCAGAGAAGTACGTAAAGAAATATATATTCGTATATGATTATTTTCTTAAATTTATTTTTAATCAGTTTAAAGTTGTTGAGTTCTTAACATAAGTGAAGCTTGTAATTTTTTAAATTTTATTTATAATATATAGTTTTTACAGGATTTACTAAACAACTTTTGATTGAAAATCTGATTTTATTTGGATATATCTACTTGACTTTTAATAAATAAAATACAAAAGGAAGACAAAGTTCAACTAAGAAATATTTCGTACAATATGCTTATTTGTTTTTGAATTTTTTTAATTAATTTATCAATTTAAATGTTCGGGTTTTTCAAGATAACTCTGTGAAAACCTTGTATTAAATTATTGAATTTTATTTTTCTTTTTTATATTTTATTCTTCGCTTCTTGTTAATTTCGTCTACAACACAGTTCTTAGCTTCAAATGCCCAACACAATGCCAATAAACTTGTGGGGCCCACTGTGCCACAAGTGTCTTCAATCGAACAAAGGTCAATGCGCTCTGTGGACAGCAAGTGCGGAGGCACATGGAACCAAACTACCATAGAAATTCATAAAATTGACTCCGCCAAAATTATAAAAAAAAGAAAAAATCCCAAACGATGCGAGGGGCCTACAACGCCGAGAAGAATCTTATATTTATGCACGACTGGCAAAAACTAATCGATGGAAATTACAAAAGCGGGAAGGTCAGCTTTTGGACTGGCCATTAGGGAGTGCGAGAAGTTCAAAGGTAAACCTGTTTCCTATTCTAATTCCCTCGTCTAAGAAGCGAAATTAGCTGAAGCAATCTTCTAGGTTGGTTTCTTGTTTTTTGCCAACGTGGTCTCCATCCCACGGAGCTCGACTTTCTGGTTAAAGAATCCATTATGGGGTTGGCTGGCCAACTGTTTCAATAAAGGATATTTGGACAAGTGGCCAAAATTAGACTCCTGGCTGAAAGAACTGAGCTGTTTGAACGACCTAAATAAATATGTCTAAGTAGATTAATGTCAGATGCCGGGTAATAATAAAAATGTTACCACAGACAAATGGGCTACAGTCACGTCCATAACTATGCCGTCAGCGGCGGACAAAGAGCGGCGAAGAGAGCGGGCAAACAGAGGCGAAGAGCGCGATCGTGAGCGCCGAAGAAAATGGTAAAAGCAAACAGGCAACAACAATGAGCGGGCCAGAAACGTAAGCCGCTGCCGACGTCTTAAAGTTGGCCAAAAAGGCGGCCAAGAGCCCCAAGGAACATTCAGTCAAGCCGCGATCGTCGAGCGCTACGGACGTCTATATCTCCCCGAATCTCGTCTCGGGGGCTAGAAGTGAGAAAAGTGCTGACCGGAAAATTCTTTCGGCCAAGAAAGGTCTCCGGAAAAGATCTCAAGCGTTTGTGTTTTTTGTGTAACTCCCCTCTGGATGTCTCTGAACGCCGAACGTTCGTACAAAATGAAGCTGCGCGATGTGGAAAATGCCTTCAAGTATCGGCGCATACCGTACCCCAAGCGGTAAGTGTGATCCCCGCAGAGGAGATTTCATTTCTTTCACCCGGGAATGGGGCTCGCTTCGAGGAGGAAATGCAATCGAGTTCCAGTTTCAGTTTAATTGAAAACCGGTCATAATTGCTTATGGAACGGCCTGAGAACCGAGCTGGCAGACAGAAGAGTGCGTTTGGTCCATCTGCGGAAGATTAAAAAAAGACTTTGCTCTCGATTCTCCATCAAAGGCATTTAACTTTCCGTTTTTCGCAGCTGGCTAAAAAGTAAAAGACATTTCAGGGTCGCATTTGATAAATATAATTAAATAAAAACTTCAATTGCTGGCTAAATCAGTTCAAACATTTATGCCGGACTTTAAGTACTCGCCAGCAAGTAAATTAATTGCAGCTTGTTCTATGCACAGAGAAAAATAAAAAAATGGGTTAGAAAATACGATAAATAACTATTTAAATAGATTTAAATTAATATAATTTAATTAAAGTCTAGCAAAGCAATTATTAGTAAAACAAAAGGAAGCATCAGAATTAGAAAAGAATCGATTTTAAATCTTAAAATTATATCTTAAATTTATATTTTTTTCTGTGCAGTTTGTGTACTTTTTTTATGCTTGATCTAGTTTAAATGCTTCAATTTTTTTGTTCATATTTTATTACTGCTGTTTTTTACATTCAATTCTTCTCATAATTCATTTGGTGTAGCACCTCGGGGCCAGCTTAACAGAGATGAAAAGAGGTAAAACCGCAAAAGCCAAACTCAACATCAACTATTTCAAGTAGCCAAAAGAGCCATGTCTTGCCAGCTTCCCCCACGCCGACTGCATTGTCTTGGCCAACATTTTTCAGTGTTTATTCTGGCCTTTTACAGAACCCAGCTCCAGTTAAGTTCGGTTCAGTCAAGAGTTGAGAGCCCGCTGACTTGACTGCCCGCTCATTAGTCGATGGTTGATGGTCGACGGACGGCCGTCCATAACAATTTTGGCCATTAAAAGGTGTTTAGGCCAGAGATCTGAGCCACTGCGTCCGCTATTGTGCAAGTTTCGCTCTTTTTTTATGTTTATGTGGCCAAAAACACACCGAAATTGTTGCAACGAGTGCGTCGAGATGTAAACTAATGATAGGCTGAATACACATGTTGTGGACTAATTGGCGTTTGGGAAAAGATTTTTTACCATTTGTTGGTTATTTACCAAGGGTGTGAGAGTTAAGACAAAGTGAGATATGGTTAATGGAAATAAAAAAAGTCACCATTTACGTTACATTTAAGTTTTAGGAAAAATAGTCATGGGAAAAACTAAAATAGCTTATAAATTACACAAAATATACAGCACTTATTATCTAGTCCATCTTTTATCAGCGCATTTTCCCCTTTTTTTCAGAACAAATTATTACATTTAATGTATGAATTACTGGCATTAATTAAACACACGATTTAAATGCAGATTTATAAGTATGCAGTGGCACGCATTTCACGCTCATTTTGACAATTTCATGCAGCTGCAACTCTCATTCAATCAGTTAGCCGCTCAATCAGTCCATCAATCAATCCGGCAATGGGCAAACATTTATTTTTTATTTGCTGCAATTTAGTGAAGGGACAATCTTGCTGCGAGAGCAACAGAATTATGCAAATATTTAAATGTGGCCATGATTTATAGCGAGGGAAAATATTATCCTAGAGGAAAGCATAATTTCCCGGCCATATTGATGCGCGCACTTGTTGTCGTTATTTGCACATCTCTTTTGTGCATTCGCGAATTGATATTAATTAATTAAATTAATTGGTTTTGCTTAAATAACTCTCGGACACATGTTTGGCAGCTTCATTAAGCAGGCACGCGATGCAAATGCATATGGAGAAAATGAGTTCAATGCACTCGGTCGGAGCTAACGAAAACCCGCCAAAAGCGATCTATAAAGTCAGATATATGGTAGTTTGCTGTAGAACCAAGGCAAGGTTATGCAATCTGGCTCACTTTCGCATGAATTAGCATAAATTACGTTTCCCAATTTGTTTTCCGAATGGATTAGGGCTTACCTAACACTAAATTTACTTTTATTTTCACTGCAGACCGAAGAAGCGTGACAGAAATTATTTAGAACGTCCCAAAGCGGGTCAACCGAGAGAGAGGGAGAGAGCTGGCTTTGAGCCGGGCTTAAACGAAGAGCGCATTGCCAACTCTTCGGTTTCCCTGGCTTTCTTCGCTCCGTGTCTCTTTCTTACCAATTTCCATCCATCTTTATAGCCCCGGGCGACGAGACTTGCAGTTACTCACATTCGTGTAATTACCCCCAGTGATGTGATTTGTTTTTCTTTGGTTTGTTTTGAGTTTTGTCTTGCGTTTTGTTTTATTTTGCTCGACGCATTGCAATGGAAATTATACATATTGGGAATTTTACACGCTGCTGGTGGGCCATGGGAAAGCTAATTATTGCTGTCTGCCTGCGGCGGGTGGTACATTAAAAATGTATTAATAATAAATTTAAAAAGTTTTCATTTTTTTAAAATCCGCAACGCCTTGTATGTTTTCACTTTTTCTGTAAAATGTATCTAAATGAAGGGTTTAAAAATTAAAATATTAATTATGTGTATTCTCGAATAATTCCACAATTTTATAATTGAAAAATGTTTAATTGTAGATAATTAGCCAACATCATGATTTTATGTTTACATATTTATTTATGGAAATTTTATTTTAGACATTATATTTGTATTATAAAAATGAATACAAAAATTTGTATAAATTTACCACTACACATACATAAGTAAAGCCTCCCTCTTTTGAAACTTTGGTCCTTCGAGCCGGACTCTTTCTTCACCAGCAGCTCCAAGGGCTTTAGCCAGTCATACCGTTAGGTTTCAAGTAATTTCAGTAACAAGAGCAAACATCAGCAATAGTTTTATAGCAATTTACAAATACTTTATGCCCCTTTCAGAGCCCGCATACCCAGTTTTCCCAAAAAGTTCACACCTAGCCTGCATGATCAGGTGAAACTCTGGGCCCTCTGTGCGAACATCCCTCCCTTTTTCGCTGATAATTCGCACGCAACTTTTGGCCAGTGAAAGCCCACAAAATACTCACATGTTTGTATACATTATAGCAATTTATGACCGCAGCCGTTTAGCACATTTCAGAAGACGAGAGAGGTGACTAACAGTTTTACTGGGCCAATTTTGGAAGGCAACAACAACAGTCCGCCCACCATCCGCCAGTCCAGAGAGATGGTCTATAACTACTATATGGCTGTTATTATTAGTTGGTCACAAAAACAGAAACTTTGGTTATGCCTGTGTGGATACCAAAAACAACCGCCCTCTCCCACGGGCCTGGCGACGAAAGAGCATTTCTACATTATGTAAAACGGTCAAATGTCGAGCCGGGAGGCTCGAATGAAAAATAACAAAATTCGCATTATTTTTAGTACAAGAAAGGCGAACGCTGATTAACACAATCATGTGAAAAATGTGCAAGGCTTTTCGACTAAAAATAAAACAAGTGCAAAAAATATACATAGCCGTAGAGACTGAAGAGTGGAAATTATGTGTATAGCTTTCACTTGATATACAAATATGGGCTCTGGGGCGAAGGGGGCGTGGCCAGCAATGCGTAACAGCCAAGTGATGATGACAATGATGAATTTTTTGTCTTCCGACGGGTTTCAAGTCTGAAGTTGGCCGAGCAAAAAGTGTAAATTGCTCGGCTAAAGGCGACGCTGAGCGGAAGGTGGAATTAGTGGAAAGGTGGATATAGTTCAAAGCCACTGAACTATGCATTAAATGGAATAATCATGGCTGAAATCAAGGTGGGGGTTAAGGATAAATATTAAATATCAACAAAGTTGAAGGGTGCTAGTAATGGCTATGGTTATTTATTACAGTAATTAGGGCTTCTATGAACAGAAATAGGCAAAAATATATGTATACAAGATAGATTTATACCTATTATTTAGAGAGCTCATTAAGATTTAATTTTCATCGACTAATTTCCCTTTCACTGCCCTGTTAATAATAATGAACACAACTCGTTAATACCAGATTTGTTTTGAGCACTTCCCCGACTTTCAAACGATGATAATGATCTTTATGCAACGCACAAAAACATTGCAAAAAATCTCTTAAAACCACCTTTCAATTTTGATTTTTCCCAAAAGAGCCAAGCAAGACTTTTGTCAGCCATGTTCCTCGTACTTTCGGTACAATTTTATTGTTTTTGATCAAATATGCATGCAAAATGCTATAAATAAGAAACAGAAAATGTGAAAAAAAAATTGTGTTTACTTGTTTGCAAAAATTTTTCAGTTTTGTTTTGTTGTTGTTTTTATGTTTGCTAAATGCAGACGAGGCAAATTTCAATTTAATTTCTCCCCTGCCTCCTTGCTCTCTCACAGCGAAAGTGAGTTAACGCTCAGCTTCAGATCCAAAGTCGGAGCTTCCTCCAGTATGTAAATCACTTTTTTTTGAGCAGCCAGCAAACTGCCGGAGATTTATGGGCGCCAGCTACTTAGGCGAGCAGAATATTTTACGGCGGGACATGTCTGGGACCCAAAGAGCTGGATTCCCAGGTGGGTGGGCGCTACTCAAAATTTAGAGTAAGTTCCCTCAAGTGAAAGCATTGAACTGCAATTAGTAGAGCGTACATATGTGAAGTTTTTGTAGATATTTTCACTTTTGTGGCAGTGAATCGGAGAAACATTCCCATAACTAGTTTTCAGCTTTGAGAGTCGGGAGACACCGTCTTGTTTTGTTTAAATTAAAAGCTGCCAGCAATTTATTGATGGAAAGTGATTAACACCTTCTTAGTGCTTATTTCGAACACTAATACAATTTAATTTAAAGAGATTGTTAATTATTATAAAAATCCTTCGAAATACCGACAATTTTCGGCAATTTTTACTAGTATGCTTTATGACTTCACCTGGAAAGTGGTTGGTAATTTCATTTATTAGAAAATGCTTATCCTAAAGCCTTTACAAATGTGTTCAGCTGATGACTGAATATGTAAAACTTCCCCA